GAAACCCAGATTTGGCACAAAAAAGGGGGAATACACGTTTCGCAATTATGCCACATCAAGGTGGAACGCTCTTCCCACAACTGTAAAGGAAAGTAAAACTATACTTACCTTCAAAACCTCTCTTAAAGAGCACCTTCGGGGGAGAGCATTGCAAAACTGGCCCCGGTAATGGTACAAATCTCAACCTGTCGTTCAATGGACAGCTTCCCCCCCCCCCCATCTATGTATATACTCGCATTTTAGACTCTGTTACTAACTGTATATCTGTAGACTTGGTATGTCTTAAATGTCCGGTTAGGATGTATTAGAACGAAATCTAAAATGAAAATTGTAAATAAGCAATCTGTATGTAAAAAACCACCTGTATGTAAATTGTAAATAAGCCATCTGTATGTCAAATATGTCTTATATGTCTTAAATGATATGATGAATTGGAAATGGGGGACCCTGATGTAAACAAGACGAAAGTCTTTCTCTGGTCTGCATCCCCTTAACAATTGTATGTTTTGAGCTGTACTGTACCCAATATACAAGCTGTTAATAAACTTTTCAATCAATCAATCAATTGTCCGCAGCAGCAGAAAGCATTTTCGAATGTTTGAATGAATCAAAGTGGATGGTCACCGTCGATGTTCTCTTATGCTCCAACACACAGTTGCACGGGGTGCAGAATAGTTTCCCCCCCACGTTCGTGCAAGTCATCGGGGTACTGCTTTGCCCGGTCTTTAGCAAAAATGTTCGTCGGTAAATGAGATGGATTATATTTTTTCATCTTGGTGTTTTCTCTCTCGTGTGAGCTCCACATGTTCACTCTACGGTGTTGTTTACCTTCTGTGATGCGCGAGCTGATGACGTCGCGTCATCATCATCATCACTTCACGTCAAGACGAGTTAACTTTTTTCCCCTCAACTTTGTGTGGAAAAATGCGGGGATTATGCAGCCTTTTGATAAATATGCGGCCTTTTAAAAATATGCGCCATTTTGCTGATTATGCGGTAAATTCTGCGATCGCAGAATCGCGTTTTTCTGGAGGGTCTTGAAATATGATATAATGAAATATGTTATATCATATAACATATTTCATTCTGCCAAAACTGTCAACAGCTGTCCCTCATGAGTAATTATGTTAAAAAAAATGCCATGAACGTTAAGAATCTCAAGCTGTCACACAGTCAAAACAACCGAGAGGAGCCACTGAGTAGAAATGTAGTATTCAAGCCACCCTGTATACACGTCTGTTTACACACCACCAGAGGGTATTCAGTGTCTGAGGAAGACATACAGGTTCTGGAAACGCAATAGGAAACAACTCTGTTCCCACTTGATAGAGGGCAAAACGGACAGTCATCATTATGCTATACTCACAGAGAAGAACAACAAAATGTAGATTAGTTTATACAAATGAAATATTAAAAATATTTAGAGATGAGCTTTCAAAATGTCAAATAGAACTTTATTGGATGATACCACGGGGAATACAAAAGTCCAGATCCTTTTTATATACAAATAAATAAACATTCACTGGCTGGCTAGTACAATGACTTGGCCCTTATTAAAAAATGTTGTAAGAACGAGAAAACCTGAACGAATATTGGCAATCAACTTGATGCAATCAAAAGATACTCAAGTATTTTCATCACAGCATTTAGTACATTTACAGATTATTAATCATCATGGACAGTTTCTTTACACTTTACACAGTTTAGAAAAGAGAGAGACAAAAAAGAAGAAACATGCTGGCCCTGTTTGCCCTGTTTGTCCCAGCAACTTTGAGCCTGTGTGTCCTTTGTTTAAAAAAATGTTGCTGCCCTTGTTTACCTTCATTATGTACGACACTGCATGGCCTAAATGTGTCCTAGTGCAGTTTCTTCTTTTTTCAAGAGGACAAAAAGAGGCAAAAATGTTCACAATCATTTCTGTGATATTCCAGCCCTTCACGTTAGTCTCATCTCTGCAGCTCGTACCCCCCCCCTGACCCCCTTCAGGGTCCAGGGACTCCAGGCCCTGGATTGTGTTCATCTGGGTGAAGGTGTGATGTGTGGTTCCCATTGTCTATGGCCATCCCTACATTCGGTATGACCACAAAGGCCAGAATCCCCACCAGCATGAGCGCCACAGTGATGGTGATGATGGACGCCACCACCATGTAGTAGCACTGGTCCGAGCGGAACAAACGGCGCATACGACCTCTGACCCTGCTGGGTGGCCTACCTACGTCCACCATAGTGGCGGGGGCTAATCCCTGCTCCAGAGCACTCAAGGGGAGGTCCCTACCTGCTGTCACCTGGCCACCTTGGCTCTTTTTAGGCAGGGTGAGGATCTTGGGTTTGATGGGGCTGTTGTGGGGACGGTTCTTCAGGAGCAGTTGTCCCTTGCTGCGTTTGAATCGGATGGACAGGATTCTCTGCATCTCTGGGGGGAGTTTGCCTATGATGTCCTCGTTGTTGCCCAGGCGGGGCAGGTCCTGGCCGTGGGGGAGCTCGGTCAGCTCTCGACACACTGGGCAGCACAGGGTCTTGAGCTCAGGGGAGGTGACGTTGATGCGAGCGAGACACTCCAGGCAGAAGGTGTGCCCGCACGCCAGCAGCTTGGGGGTCTTGAAGATGTTATCGTAGGAGCAGAAACACACAGCACACTCAGTGTCCTCCACATCATTTTCAGGGGGCTTCACCTTCCTCCCAATGCTCTCTCCCCCTTTTCTGTTTCGTCCCCGGACTTCCTCACTCCTCCCCCGCCGCCTCCTCTCTCCCTGGTGCCTTTCTCGCTCTCTCCTCCTGCCTCTCTCCACCCTATCCGAGTCAGAACTCCTGGATCTCCTCACCTTCGCAGGCTTCTCCTTCTTCCACATGTCCTCCTTGGTGTTGCTCTCTTTCTGGCCGAGTTTTGGTTTGACGTTGGGGACTGGTCTGTCCCCATTGCTCCCTTCGGGCCTGTGTCTCTCCCTCTCATCGCTCATGTTGGAGGGATTGTGTTAGAGGTTGAGTGCCGGATGGAATCTGTAAAAGATAAAAAAACGTGAATGAGTTTACTGACTCAGAGAAACCCGCAGAGCAGGAAACAGACTTTAGGAATTTACCTGCACAACATTGCTGTTTCACGATGATGGCGCAATAATGCCTAATCTATTGCTATCTACATCTCTGTTGTATTAAAGGGTTATCTGTTGATTTGATTCATTTATTCAACATGATATTGTGCCACCATATTTGTTTAATAGGTTTTCCTGCCCAGAAGGAATCAGGAAACATAAGTTCTTCAGATAGTTAGAAGTAAATGGAGATATTTTACGACCCTGTTTTCTTAGTGGGTAGCAGGTGTATATACAGTCTATGGTTGAAACCCATAAAGGTAAACTAAACGAAGGCGTCATTTTTTTGGAATGTCATGTAAACATTCCATAATACCCATCCATCTTACAAAGTTAGTCATTAACTCAGTTTTTACCTTGCAGCTGGCTCACAATTAACTATTGAGCAGCAGATTTCCTTCAAATTAAACAAAATACATTGTTGACGTATGCAACAACTTGACAACGTTTAATTGTAACCTGTAGGTTATGGAATATTCAGGATTTAAGGATCTTTAAAATAATTGACATTTGCCGGCTGAAACCAGCAGGCTAGCAGAGAAAAAAACGTTTGATGACAAAGAACAGGGAAGTAAATAATTTGACAGAATATATATTATATATTACACACACACACACACACTGACCTGCTGAGGTAGGTTAATGTCCGATCACCTTGAGATAATCTCACAAGTAGAATAATCCTTTTGGGTATCAGAGCATTGGAAACGTGCAAATCACCAAACTTCATTACTATAAAAGCTTTCCTCTGAAGTATTTTGGTCTCCCTGCAGTGCCTGCTCTCCTGATCGGATATGTTTCCTCTCATATCTTGTTTTCTAACTGTAACGCCGCACTGCCTCCTCTGAACACACCCCTTCTCTCTCTCTTCTGGTCGGACCAGTTGGACCAGCTGTGTGAGCCGGTGCTTCTTTATTGTGTCGGTGTGTAGCATGTTTAGATAAGCAGGTCAGAGAGAACTCATGTGGGTCCACTCACCCAGCAGACCCCATGTGATACTGATAGTATAACTTAGAGACTGCTCTGCATGTGACAGCTCCATTTCCTTTTGAAAAATACAAATCAAACATTTCTCATTGTTTGTTGTTTAACTGATGAGCAATTAAAATCAGAAAGGTGGTATGAAGGGTCAAGTGGTTTATAATGCTTTATGTGACTTTATGTGCATCAAGAAAAACAGCAGCAAGTGTTTGGAAAATGTCACAGTCGCTGCATAAAAAGACAAGGGTTCAGTACTGTCAACACTGCAGGTATCAGCGGCTCATACCTGCCATACCTCCAGCCGCTATTAACACATTACTACCCAAACAAGAGCAGCTGCCTAACTTAAGCCTTCATTTCTGCTCAAAACCAGTTACTCCCTTTCTATCTGAACCAAATGAATGACCGAGAATACATCCCGGCTGACAATACAATGCATGTATTTAAATATAAACAGCAATAAGATTAACACATAAAACCGATTTGTTTGCTTTGTTACACAGCTCTCCCTCAAAACGGCTGTGTCACTCTTGAATTACGTACTACACCCGGCTGTCCGAGGCACACCAAGATCCAGAAGAAATCTGTATTTGTATTATATGAAGTATACATATGTTGAATTCAGTTCAAGTGAAAAAAACTAGATGAAAGTATAACTTCTGTGAGAATTGGGAGTTTCTATGCACAAATAGTGATTATGTAAAATATCTCAAATGAGCGTGAAGAGGCCCTGTGATCCATGACTTAGCCAGTATGACAAAATAATTATAGAAGGCTATTTGAATGCAGCATTTAAATATAACCTGTAAAAAAATAGAAGTAACTTCCTGGTGAAATGAAAAAGCAGAGGGAAAGCCGAGTTGGGGGATCTTGAAAGGTGAACGATTAGTGGTGACTAATTACAGAGCAGGGAAGCAACTGACAAAAAGAAGTGGTTGTAAAACTTTATTGCTGTAGAAAAAGGAAAATAAACAAGATAAGGAGCCTCACACATGTGTGATTTGGAAATGAGTCTTTTCAGTTTGGTGGAGGCTCCTCTGTAACTTACACACTTTAACAGTGTGCCGGTTTCACAAAAAGCACCCGGGAAACAAAGCAGCAGTCTTGTGAAAAATCCTCCCAGTGAGTTGGGACCGCAGTTGCAATGCAGGAAACTCCAGGTGCTTCAATGTTTCCTTGTGGTTGGCTTATGATTAAACCAGCCTCTGTCTGTGACCCACCCACTGCTCCTCATGTGTGTTTAGGCTACACATTTAGTACAAAATGTCATCTCCAGTCACAGAAGAAAACAATTGAAGACAAACAGGTGGAGACAGGCTAGAACCATAGACTGTAGCTGACACTACATTTTCCAAACTTTTCCTCATTTAATTTTATGAAATTTCCAATAGTCATTTTGTCACGTTGACCCTGCCCTGAGAGAGGGTGGGAGTGAGCCCCCCACTCTTTTGATTTTCACCATCTGTCCTCTGAGCTTCGGGCCTCTCTTCAGCCCAGCTCCTCTTTAGCTTTGCCCTGCTTGCGAGGCATCTTCTTGCTGCTGCTGTCCTCCAGCTCTTTGCTCTTGTAGTAGTGAGGAGCCACTTCAAGAAGCCAGCTGCTGTCTATCTCAATAACCTACATGCAGGAAGAGAGAGAGTATATCAAATACAGGGAGTAAAACATTGTACAGGAACACTTCCTCATTAAAGTGCAGTCTCATTCATACAAGCAGTTTTCTGTCCAGGACGTCACACTTGTCACACTGAAAGGTGTGTGTGTCTATGTTATTTGCATTTTTAAAAATATCTTTTTCTGTGGTTCATCACGACGGTCATTCGGGGTGGGGGAAATAACAGCATAGTATCGCGTTACTTTGCGTGGGGATATTGTATTGATACACGGATGCCAAGTATCGATATTTTTATTATATAAACTATTCATATTGCAAATCCAAATAAGCTTGGCAAAGCTACCATCAAATTCTGAGCGAGCTAAGAAAATAACTCAATCAATCACCTACTTGATGTGCAAAGACCTGCGTCCATACAGCGTTGTGACAACGAAAGCTTTTGTCACATGTTAAAGACACTGGAACCCAATATATCATGCAATCATATATATCAAATTATATGCGCAATATATGGTAACCCAATACTTAGCATACCATAGAATCACGATAGTATCGTATCAAGGTTCTTTATTTAGTCATACGAACATTGCTACAGTGTAGTTATGCCCATGAAAATCTTGTGTATCGTGGGGAGCCTGGTGATTCCCACCCCTAGCAGACATGCAGTACAGCAACAACAATAATCTCCAATCTCTGCAGGTATTGAAAAGAGATTTAGTGTTTCATAGTAAACATTGTGACATCTTGAGCAGACGGACCTGTCTCATGAACTCCTTGGTGGTGAAGACCAGCTCGTGGTAGATGAGCCAGCGGGGCTGCTCCTCGAACAGACAGCTGTTGGGGTGGACGTAGACCGTCTGCTGGTGCTTCACCGTCTTGTATCCGCCTTTGCTCAGTCGTGCCGTGTGGTAGAAATATCCTGCAGTCACCGACTGGGAGACAGACGAGAGAGGGGTCAATGAAAGCCGATTCCTGATTCATACAGTTGGATTGCAGATGTGTCATTACAATGTGATAAAGCCCAGTATGTGAGGACTTTTGAGATACTTAACAATTAAAGAGGAATGTCAAAAAGGTGTTAATGCTTTGACTCGCTTGTTATTAGTATAGGAAGTACAGCATAAGAGTTTGCCATCCTGTAGAAACATGCGTTTTTTGAGAGAAGAGAATTTTTTTTTCAATTTGTTCAAATAACGGATTGATTTTTATCCCCACAAAAATCTGTAATAGAGAAAGTTAATATGACCTTTTTGTTTTCAATCCAGCACTAAGAGCTTTTGTGGCTTATAACTCATCGTTAGGTTTTCCCTCAAGAAATGTGCTCTTCTCTTAATGGACTCTGAATGATCACAGTCTTTGACGCAACAGTGATGCAGTGTTACTAAAACAATTGTTGTTTGCCATCTTGCCATGACTCAAAGGGGGAAAACCTGCATCCAGTCGGTAAATAACCGCCAAGGAATCAAAGCAGGAACAGCAGATAATGAATTCTCTTAAGGTTAACAACATGTGAGGATTTATGATTGATGTTGGGTTTCTTTTGTGAATTTATAACAGATACGTAACATAACATCAGGACCTGTTTTTCCAACCTCGTTTCAAGATGCAGGCAAACTTTCCACAGCGGCTGTTATCTAGGCCAGGTGGAGTTGGGTGTGTTCACAAAACTAATGCTTACAAGGGACCTGACAGATAACACCTATCACACATCAGTCATGCAATAAGAAAAGCAGATCTAGATTATTTTTGTAATTTTGCCTCAAAATACAAGTCACTTGCCAGTTGCATGTAAGCATGGGGGTGTCAGCGCCCCCCAGCTTAAAACAAGGAACTCACACAATGTTATCAGCTTCTTTATGGATCAAATCTCGTAGACTGATACATGTTTGGAAACGTGGTGACAACTAGAGTTTATAATATCATTTCATTAGCTTTATATTTGTTAATTATTTGTCTTCAGGATTTTTCACACACTGCATGTGATGAAAGAAGGTGTTACCCAACTAATAAAACAAACGCCCTTTCTTATCTCAAGAGGTTTAGGGGTGCGTTCACAACACACACGGAACGGACACTGATATAAGACGGCTACAACAGCCTCTGTTCAGGGATGTTGTAGCTTGTACTCTTACACTTCCTTATTGTTTGAGCCAAAGGGCTTTTATTGGAGATCTTAGAGTTAAAGGGGGAGTCAGAGGGGAGGACATAGCCTAAATGTTCGGCTGGCTCGGATTTGAACCGGCTTACCAGCTTACTTTATAATTTTATAAGAGTCCATTATCTTGATATAAATCTGTTGTGAAAGGAAGCATCCACTCGCTAAAAGTGTTCTTCAGCAAAAGTAGGCTATATCCGATGGTAACCTTTGACCTGGAGACAAACAGGATTCATTTGAGGAAATCATTTAACATAAATGTTATGCTGACGGAGCGTTTAAAGCTAAAATGAGCAGCTTGAAATCGTCTGTGTGTTATCACAGTTCGGACCTCCTGTGTCAAGTTTTAAACACTTGTCACTCGTCTTAGGTTGTTAACCTTTACATTGTTAAGCCTGAGGAACAACGAAAGGAAGCAAATATTGACTGGAGGCAGTGTTTGTCTCTGTAGAAAAGGCAACATCTTCGCCATGATTTCAGAATGTATCAGTTGGTCTTGTTTGTCAAAGGTTAACCTCTTCAGTGCTTATCTGTCTGCATTCTACCGTTGTTCTAGTTGCTACAAATGCCTCCCTTTAACAGTGAGAGAAAAAAACTCTGCTGCCTGCAAACTAGCAACATATCTATAGGACGTGGCCATGATCACAACATCTGGGCTCATGGTTGAGGTTTCATGTTTTTTGTCAGGAAACCATATTAAAACATCAGTGGTCTCTACACAACAACTGTTCCGTCAAAATAAGCGAGTTGATGCCGTTTTTAAATGTAGGGGAACCTGCTTAACACGGTCTACATGCCAGTAGACAAATATGTCTTTCTGTTTCTCTTTTTGTAGTGTCATGTTTGAAGCAGTAGAAATGGATGAACAGCTGAATGTTTTATTTTGTGTCATGTTGAGTTTGAATGAAGTTGATTTTACGATGATAATCAAGGTAAAATAACTCTTTGTTGTCCATGAAGTTTTGTAACTTTGACAAAGACATTGTTATGTTTTTATTAGGGCCGGGACTTTAACGCGTTAATTAAGATTAATTAATTACACAAAAATTAACGCGTTAAAAAAATTAACGCATTTTAATCGCACTTATTTTTGCACCGCGGAACGTTTCTCACTGGATGAGTTTCAGGCGTACCGATTATACTGGAGCACCAACTAACGTTCATGACTTCAGACAACAACAAACCACAGTGAACAACAGTGGGAAATGTTGTTTTAAAAAACGGACGGATGGAAGCGTCGATAAGAGCACGGTTGTGTGCAAATTATGCAAAAAGGAATTCGCATATCACCGCAGCACATCAAGCCTCAAGTATCACCTCAATGCAAAACATATAGCAGCTAGCGTGGAAGCTAGCGTGGACGTTAGCCTCTTTTATCGCATTCACACCATACAGTCTATGGTTCACACCAAAAAGAGCCGGTACTAAAATTAGTTCATGAGAACCATTTTACCCCCCACGAAAGTCCCTGCTAGAGAGCAGAGAGCTGCTAGAGAGCAGGGACTTTCGTACGGCTCTCTTGTGAGAAAAGAGCTATATTTCTGATTGGCTGGAAGGATTGCAAACCACGCCCCGTAAAACTCCCAAAAAGTTTGGTGAAGCCGCCATTTTATTATCCTCGCATTAGCATTATTAGCATTAGCCCAGCGCAGAAACGCAGAGAGACTAACTTATGGCAACACAAAATAAAACATGGGAGCGGTGGAGATGAGGAGGTGTCGGCGTTCTGGCGATTTACTCGGAAGGCTTCAGTAGAAGCTGCTGGGAGTCCCAGCAGCTTCTACTGAAGCCAGTCCCTAACTCCGGGGACTTCCGGCCGGGGACTTTGGGCGGCAGTATACGCCGTGAAGTGGTTTGCGGCCTGCCAGTAAACCCAAAGCAGAAGAAGAAGAAGTGACGTCAGCGGCTTCATTTGCCTAATCCACCCCCAGGTTCAAAGAGTTCTCATGAACTAAATTCTCATGAACCTTTGTGGGAAAAGTACTGCGGTGTGAATGCGCCTAATGGTATACTAAAATCCATGTGAAAAAAATTGCTTCTCACTGTTCTCAGGTCAAATATTTATATGCGATTAAAAATGCGATTAATTTCGATTAATTAATTACAAAGCCTCTAATTAATTAGATTAATTTTTTTAATCGAGTCCCGGCCCTAGTTTTTATATTAATAAATTAAATACTTTGATTTTCTTAATTATATATTCAGTTCAACGTGGGTCAAGTAACATTGTGCCCCGTCTCTACTGCATTTCAATCATTTGTCCAGGGAATTATTGTAGGCTGATTTCCACCTGAGACGGGCCAGATGTTGGCAGGTGTTAGTGTGTTTTCGTGCTGTGGGAAGAGGGCTTCACTGACCTTTCGAATGGGCATGGTCTCTCCATGGGAGCTCACCACCTCCACCTCTATGCGATCCATCAGACCCTCCAGCTGGTCCCGGACGTCCCGGGCTCTTCTCATGGAGCGGAACTGGATGAAGTTCTCGTAGCACCACTGTGTGGAGTAATCGCTCTCCAGCCACTGAGGGACAAAGCATCATCACTCAGTTAGTACTTTGGAGATTAAACAATGGCTACCAACATGGGGATGTCGCAGTGGACAACTGGACCTTCTGTAGACACACACACACACACACACACACACACACACACACACACACAACACACACACACACACACACACACACACACACACACACACACACACACACACACACACACACACACACACACACACACACACACACACACACACACACACACACACACACACACACACACACACACACACACACACACACACACACACACACCACACACACACACACACCACACACACACACACACTACACACACCACACACACACACACCACACACACACACACACACACACACACACACACACACACACACACACACACACAGTACATCCTCCGCCGCGCCAAACGTTACAAATCAACGTAACACTGTAATATTACAGATCAACAACACAGATACGATTCTCATTTATTCATTTGACATACATTTTATTTATATAATTAAATCCATTTTTCGTTTGTTTTATCTGAGTGTTCCAGGGTATTCTCTGAATACCTTGAAGGCCCTGACGGTTGGCCACTGGGATGTCGTTCCTACAAGAGTTATTTGAGGATTTAAGAGATGTATAACAAAGTCATGCTACGGAGGAAGACCCATCACTATATCCAAGACTGAAATATCTCAACAGCTGTGGGATGGATTAAAGTTTGTACACACATTCACCAAAGGATGAATCATACTGATGGCTAATTAAATGTGTCATTGTTTAATCTTAGAAACAATTAAAATCCTGTCTTTTAAGCAATTACTTTTATCGCTAGTTAACAGCCTAGTAGTTTATTATTCCTCAGCCGGTCTAAACAAGTCTTAAAATAGACGGATGTAAAGACATGCTTACCTTGACATACACTAAATAGTTGTCTACCGGGTCAAAGATAATATGAACATTCCTAGTTGTTTCCATTAGACACCAATCATGAACACTAACTACATAAGCTTCACAAAGACAGGTTTTCAGGCAGGTTTGGATTGCATTACTCTTTTGAATTGTATTTTGAACATGTCTTCAACTGTAACCGCTGCGGTGTTTCTACCTGTGTGTAGACGTTGAGCAGCACCATGTGGTCTCCTCCTGGCACCACAAAGTTCTGCCTGGCGTTGTCGGCATGTACCACCTTGTCTTTGGGCCGGTAGAAAATAGAGTTGTTCACCGACAGCATGGCTGCTATCGTCAACACTTCCTCCGAACACTTGTATCTGGAAGGAGATGGAGAACAATTGAAAGAAATGTATAAAACTGCAGAGAGAGAAAGCAGAAACAATATTGATAAGCCACCTCTGAAGTACACAAGCTTTTACTTTGGACTCAAATGCATTCACTTAATAACAATAAACCATTTTTGGAAGATTTACGTTGTTCATATCCAGTAACCCAAATGCATCCTTTTATATCATTTAACAAAAGGTCACAAAGCTACAATACAAAGGGCATACCAAAAGACTTATTTTCTTATTTCTGGCAGCTCACACACTGGACAGATTCGACTTTCTTTATCTAAAGCAGTTTTTCTCACGTTGATATATTAAGAGTAACAAAAGCTCAAATTTGAACTTGTTTTTTATCACAAAGTAGGCAACACGACTTGTTTAACCATTCCTCCCTAAGAGGTTATTGTCATGGAACACAAATAAGAATGTATTAGCAGTTAGAATGCAGCTTTTATTTTGAAATGTACTTTGAAAGAGATGGCACTTCCTTTGTGGCTATGACCACTTCCTTAAGTTCCAGGAAGTCTTTTTACACATGGACACTAATGCAATAAGCATGTAATGGGAGCACTCGCTGCAGAATCCCCATCCATCCTTCATTCTAAGCCCAAAACGTGGCATTATCATTTCACTGTACTGTTCTCGTTTTCAACGTGTGGATATTGAAACTTAACAGCCAGCTAAACTCTCCTCAGCATCCTCCCAAATACAACACCTGCCTGTTACTTGGAGGAATGATGCTGAGGAGAGTTTAGCTGGCTGTTAAGTTTCAATATCCACACGTTGAAAACGAGAACAGTACAGTGATCAATCTTAAATTCTTTATTTACAACAAATACCAAGTTCCCCGTTTGCTGTTCATCCAATTTAAATAACATTTTGGTTTGTTTGTTATTATCTGGTAATGCGTCGAAGGATTATGCTTCTTTATCAGACTGGAGACTTACTGCTCGGAGGCGAGAATCATCTTGCTCAGCATGGGGTCCACCGGGAGCTCAGCCATTCTGCGTCCCAGCTGACGGCAGACAAACAAAAACAAACAGATAAGATAAACAATGAAATACTTAATTAGTTCATTAAATAAACAAATACCCGATGAAAGAAAGTAGTGATGCATTCACCAACACTCTCTAAAGAACATCCTCACATATTTGTTGATCACATACAAACAACACAAGCCTGGAAATAACAGCTTTAAGTTGTGTGCGGGATGTCAGGTGTCAAAAACCTCAGGTATGCACAGTCTGTCATGCAAATATGTAGATGCTCAGCATGAAGATAGACAGATTATTTGTGCAAAATGTACGTATCTTGTTTGTGTTGTAAAAGTTAAGAATGTAAAAGATGGTTCTTATTTCTACTTACTGACTCGAGTGCGAGATAAAGATCATTTGGGTGGAATAATTCACCGATTGCTTGTTGTACTTGCTTGATATGACAATGATTGTTGTATTGTGAAAGGTTTTTAGGGGGTTAGGGTACTTAATTACTCAAAAAACGTGTAACACTAGAAAAACGGGACACAGGTCTAATAGTGTAACTATGGTGACTGTACATCTGGCTTTTAGTTGATAAATGCTCCACTAACTTCACCAGATAGTCGCTAACTATCTCTGTCTGTTGTCGGGAGCTGAGCAGGAGGTGTTAGGTGCTACTTTACAGATCTTTTACTGAAATCAGGAGCCTGCTGCAGCCAAAAGCAAAGCCATGAGAGCAGCCGGAGTTAACCAAACATAAGAAGTGGACCACCTGTTGAGCCCTGAGCCTGTTTTTAAGGCCTCAGGCTCGAGAATGACATGCCCACAACAAATGACTATATCTTCACTTCTAAAAGAGGTAAATTAAAAAAAAAAAAATCTCAAAGTAATGAGAAAGCTGTAAGTTAGATGTAGAAAAGTCAGAATCAATATAGATGTTTTTTATTTTAAAGTAAATTCAGATTGAACACAGTAAAAAAAATGTAAATTATAGTGTCCGTCCAAAAATAAAACATTACTTATAGTGAAAACCAACCTTGAATGATGGGTTAGTAGACTAAAAGCTTTAGGAATCCAAACTATAACATATAATAAGTACCCTGTATCAAGATTGATGCAAAACAAGTGACATTTGACCTTTTAGAAAGTATTTAGAGAAAAAAAAACACTTCTGGGGTCATTTGGGTGGATTTTCCATATCTCTGGAACCCATTGGTCGATGATGATTGACATCTCTTTCTAACCGTTAGAGCCAATAGAATCGAAGGGAAGTTCTTCAAATCTAAACATTACACATTGGTGAATGAGTGATGCGCAGCCAGAATGCCCAAAACCGGAAGCTGTCATACACTCTCGTAGCTATCATAATAGCTATATATGAAAACTCAGTTTTTGCCATAAATATGAAGACGGATTATCAGTAATCATTCAAAGTGACCGACACATTGGATAAACCTATGGATTAACCTTCAGCAGCGCTTTTATCGTTTTAATGCCATTGAACACGACTTTTGATCAGAACAACAGCAAAGGTTACACAATGTCCCGTTTTTGCTCCGTAAAGCTACGCCGTGTGATGTCTGGGTTCGCTTCCCCTGCCGCGAGTTTTGATCGCACAGTGATGATACTAATACCTCTAGAATCTGTGGAATCTCAGCTTGCTAGCTGATATCTTATTTGTGCAGATCCGATAAGTAATAAAGTGTTTCTACCGTGAGTTCTGTGCTAAGTGCGTCAGCATTTTTTCGCTCAGGGCTCATTTAGACGCTTCTTGTGAGACTTGTGTTTTGTTTCGGTAAAAATGGCTCGTACCGTCAGTTAGCTGAGTTTCTTCCCGTTAAGTGGGTACGACACATTAATAGGTTGTTAAATGTTAAGAAGTCCTGAGACACAGTTTTGTGAAAAAGAAACCTGCAGTTCCCGGGCTTTTAAAGCTCTGCAAAGCTGAGGGGAGCCTCAGATTCAGGTGATATTTCTCTGTAGGTTCACCCCATGACTGAGCCCTTTCACATCAAATGTGACATATTTGATGCATGTTGTTATATGAATAACAAATTAATCTACTAATAAGTGTAAAAGGGAGTTTGTGGGCCCTGAGTCTGTACCTTGGTCAACTCTCCGAGGTGGTTGAGCGCTCCCAGGGCGTAGAGCTGCTCCAGCGCCAACACCAGAGTCTCGTGAGGAGGTGGGTCCATGAAGTCAAAGTGAATGAGGTCATTGATGCCTGCAAGCAAAAAGGAATACCTTATTGCACATCCACAAAATCAGTTTATTGGTCTCTATGTCCCACCAGAGAGTGGATCCCCCACACACCTAGACTCTTCAGCAGCAGGACGACATTTCCCAAGTTGGTCCTCTGAATCTCGGGCACAGTCGATTCCTCCATCTCATGTTTAAAGGCCCAGGCTGTGTAAAGCCTGAAACATTTCCCAGCAGCCACTCTGCCTGCACGGCCTGCTCTCTGGTTGGCTGAAGCCTGAGAGTGAAACAGAGACAGACAGCAGGAGGTGACAAAACGTTTACAGGCACTAATAATTAGCCTTTCTAAAATATCCCAGCTTTAGCCTGCGTAAGGGACTTTTGAAAACCTCTCCACCTCACTTCAACATAGACTCCCTGTTTGTTAAGCTTACCCGGGAGCAGGGCGTTACGATTAGGGACTCCATGCCGGTGCGGGCGTTGTAACTCTTCTGTTTGCAGAATCCGGGGTCAATGACGTAGATGATGCCATCTATGGTGAGGGAGGTTTCTGCTATATTGGTAGCAACCACCACCTGGGATTGATAGAGAGAACACACAGTGCCAAGTGATAAAGTGAGTAAGCAACGTTCAAACAAAGCAGGAGGAAGATTAAGTCCAGTTAAACAAAGGGAACAAAGATGTGATAAAGACACCAAGGCTTTAATCTACTGAACAGCACAAGAAAACTAGGAGACTAAGTCTCTAAAACAAATCCCATTGTACTACAGCAGCCTCTATTGGTAGGTAGATACATGTATCATGGACAGTTCATCTTGCTTATTAACTGAGAGATCTATTGTGTTAATTTATATTAAGATATGTTATATGTTCTCATAGTTTACTGACCATTTGTTTCTGCCAAGATGAAATTAATCCTACAGGGATCTACTACACCCAAGATATGACACAAATACACTGTTTTCACACACACATGTAAATATATCTAATATGTATCTATGACCCAATATGTCTATATGTTCATTTTAATTCATTTCTTATTTTATCATTTTTAATTTGGATCTTTTGAATCTGTGCTGTCCTGTTTTTCATCCTTACCCTGTTGCTGTTAAACTACTGAATTTCCCCACAAGGATTAATAAAAGGTTCATCTTATTCTTATATAATTGGAAAGGGAACTAATAGCAGTTATTTAAGTATTGTTCACAGAAATGAAGACATGGTCTCACCTTGCGGGCTCCAGGCGGGGTGGGGTTGAAGATCTTGGCCTGCATGTCTGACGGCAGGTTGGCGTAGATGGGAAGGACCAGCAGCTCGGCTATCTTAGATCCAAGTCGCCTGCATCTCTCCTGAAGCAGCTCGCAACACGCTTCAATCTCCTCCTGCAAGAAAACACAAGAGGTCGGTATCTCCTTTTTCCTTTTCTTGATACAGTCGTTTAGTCAGCAAGAGTTTGTTTGGCCTTTTTCACATCAACCTGATCGAACTGAACTGGTTAACGCTGGTTGTTCTAAACTGAACCATACAGCACTCTCAGACACACATTATAGTTAGAACCATGTCTTGAATGTGCTAAAGACGTAAACAAGGAAGCTTATATGTCTGTACAAACAGGCTGAGGAGTTTTGAGGTGAATATATCTTAATGATTAATTCCAAAATCGACCAATGAAGATATAACATACAAAATACTGAGAAGACCCCCAATCTTCCATTACAATCGTTTCCAAAACTTTAAATCTCTTGATAAAAATCTTGATGAACAATACCTGTCCAGTGAGGAAGACCAGACAGTCTCCGGGCGGCTGGGTGACGTGGATCTGAAGCACCGACACCACGCAAGCTTCCAGGTAGTCTGCTTCTGGAGCCTTGACGACACAACACACAGACACGAACATCAACAGGACAGTTTGATCTTTGCAAGCAGAGATTATATAGTTTCATTTGACCCTGAGGAACTTTGGTCATATTTTTCTTTTTGGTGACCCACATAAATATATATATATATATATATATATATATATATATATCCTTTATTGAACCAGGTAAAGACTTTTCCAAGAGCGACCTGGCTAAGAAGGGCAGCAAATTAACACAGACAATACAGGCAGACAAATACAGCTGTAAAACACAAATAACATTAGCCAGTCAATATGCAAAATAAAATAAAAATCATTCAAAACTGGCTACATTTAAAACGACTTAAATGTTGGTATATACGAGCACTCACATCTACCAATGGTTTCTTGTTCTCTGTCCTTCAAGACGGACTTGAATTTCCCCATAGTGATAACATCTGAGAGTGATAGAGACTGTACATCTGTCCCTGGCTCTAGTATGATGACTTTACTCATCACAACCTTATTTATCTATTGTTCATTCATATTTGTTAAAGTAAGAAATATTATAAATAAGGGAAACTATAGAATAAATAGTGTTCTATCATGATAAACTGGTATTAACAAAAGCAGTGATCTTTGAAAATAAAATGTTGATATCATCTTAATTATACTTTTGTGTTAATAAGATATAGTGGCAATATTTCATACAGTGTTTTATTTCGCTGTCCCTTTTTCATCAAGCAGACAACATTCACTAATTACCAGATATAATGTAATATAATCAAACTAAATTGATATGCTAGTTCCTACTTTGGTGTAGAAGATATCCACGGGGAACCTCCTGCCAGGGATCCTGAAGACAGGCGCGTCGTCAAAGAAGCAGGAGAAGCGCTCGGTGTCCAGAGTGGCGCTCGCCACCAGCACCTTCAGGTCGGGCCTGAAGCGGGCGATGTCTTTGATCAGACCGAACAGGATGTCTGTGTGGAGCGTCCGCTCATGGGCTTCGTCTATGATGACTACACTGCAGGGCGACGGGAGGACAAAACATACAGGTACACATAGGGATGTCAGTGGAGGGTGTTAATGAAATAAATACTAACTGATATTTCCAAAACGCCTGACCCAAATTAAAAGTTGAATGTGTTTCGTGTGATGAGGGGTGTGGTCAGGAGAGCAAAATGAATGAAAACCGCTATCTTTCAAAGACAAAAAATGAAAAATGAATGCTGAAATCAAACCAGGTTAAAAAGGAAAACCTGATGAGAAGATATTTATCTCCTTTTTTGCATTACCTGTAGCTGGCCAAGTCAGGCTCAGTGAGAAACTCTCGGAGCAGCATGCCGTCTGTCATGTACTTGAGAATTGTCCTCTCTGATGTGCAGTCCTCAAAACGAATACTGTAACCCACCTGGAAGAAGGAACAAAAACATAAAAACCCTGATAATACAAAACGGCCAAACGTTTTAATACACAAAAACATGAATTATAGTGAATCCAAAATGATTTCCTTTAGCCAAATGCACAAATAATTAAAAGTGCAAAGCTCACCTCGTTACCCAGCTTAACGCTCATTTCCTGAGCCACTCTAGCAGCTACTGACATGGCTGCCACTCTGCGAGGCTGAGTACATCCGATCTTCATGCCTCCTTGTGTGTAGCCCTGAGAGAGGAACAATGATGGGTAGCATCAGTACAGACTTGGATTTGTTTATACCCTTAACTTCTTCATTACTATGTTGACTTGTATCTCATGTTATTGCCTTTGAGTGGACTTCTGTTATGTATTGCGGTCATGTTTCTACAAGTAACATGGTTAATAACCAAGTGTACCATGATGCTGTAAAACATTAGGAACTGCACTCACATGTTCCAGGAGGTACTGCGGGATCTGGGTGGTCTTGCCAGAGCCCGTCTCCCCCTCAATGACCAGGATCTGGTGCTCTTGGATGGCAGCCAGCAGGTCCTCTCTGTAGGGGAAGATGGGCAGGCTGCGTCTGACCTCCTGCATCGACTGTTTCTTCATCTCCGCCTGGGACAGAGCTATGGCCTCCTCTTCCTGAACACAACATAGTCACATAAAAAAGGCCTACTTCAGATCTCTGGCATTATCTATTTCACAGTTTTTAGCTTTAACGTTAAATCACAGACCAGACACATCTTACCACTAGGTGTCGCACTAGACTAGGCAGCTACTCCAAAGTGAAACAATTAGACGAAGAGAGCCCATGTTGCAGGGATTATAACTGTGCTCTTATTCCGGTTGCCATTTTTTCAACGCTTAAAAAAACGTTAATGTAAAATGTAATCTCATCAGAACGTAACTGTTTATTTTAACCAAAAATACTGTTGTCATGGTGTTGCCTTTGCTCCAACACATCAGTGCAATATCACAATTCTGTGAAGAGCCTTCTATGAAAATTACTCGACCGGTTTGAACACTAAACAATGATTAAAATCGATGCATCCAAACCAGGAATATTCCGTGTTAAAAAACTGTGCTTGGGTAATTGGGCTTACTAATAAATCTGTCATGCTAGTAGACACAAATATACCCTCAAGCTTTTAGCCTCAAGCAGTGACATCAAGAACAACAAACAGACTGGACAAATACTAGCCCAATTGATTTAATCACAACAAAAATGGAGCTTTCAAAAGAATAACCAAGAAGTACCAAAAGAAACGCACCTCTTCAGTGCGAGTTCCCTTCATGGTGATAGCAGTGCTGACGAAGTCGATCATCTCGTCCTCCTCCAGGATCAGCTGGTACTTCTCCTGCTCCAGCTTCATCCCTTGCTCTCTCTCCCTCTTAGCCCCGAAGCTGAGGGAGGCCGTCTTCAGCCTCTCCTCCTCCCAGCGGCCCTGCTCTCCTCCCAGCTCCATGGGATGCTCCTCCAGCTCCAGGTCCCTCTGTGGCACCTCCTAAACAATCAAACCACATACGCACACTTTAGTAGCTGACCGTTTGCGCACATTGTCTCAGAGTGTCACATCCCTGGTTCCCACCTTGTTTCTCTTCTCTTCCGGCATGTAGTATCTGTTCTTCCTCTCATCCTGTTCCTTGGCGCCAGCCTTCTTGTAATCTTTAGCCAGGTCTCGGAGGTTGCGTTTGTATTCCAACTCCTTTCTCTCCCTCTCAGTCAGCTCGTCTGTATGGAAAAGGTACTCGTCGTCATGGATCTCTGCCTCCAAATCTTCCAGCTTCTCTGCCTCCCTCTTCTTTAGGTAATCCCAACGAGAGCGCTTCCTCAACTCTGGCAACTAGAGAGGAACACAGGAACGGGTGGATCAGAAACTATAGTACATAGTTAGATATTTAACAACTTTTTTTAATTCTCTCAAACCACATCTTTTAACACCTAAGGGTAAAGTCATTAAGAAGTACACATGTGACCATGACATATTATGCTGTTTATCAATATAACATTTGAAACTCGTCAGTCTACCATGTTATTCTGGTCGTCTTCAGCCATTTTCAGCCTCTTCTGAGCTTCCTCATACGCCTGGGGAAAACAAACAAAAGGTGAAGATGTTAAGCTGCTTGATACATTGAGCTGCATTTGATCAAATGCCTGTGATGTGTTGAAGATGTTCTTGTCTCCCACCTTCTTGTCAGTCCTCTCTGTTATGTTGCGGGTCTTGTCCTTGTCTTTCAGCTTCACTCGCTCTGCAAATGCATCTCGCGCTTCAATGTCCTGCTGTCGCTCCCTTTCTTCCTTCTCCCACTCTTCTTCTTCTTCTTCATCGTCGTTGTTCTTGAGAGACTTCTGATCCCCTTGGCTTGAATTGCCCGCGATATTGGAAACAACATGCATTAGTCATCAGTTATATAAAGCACCCCAGTATTACAAGTACCCAAAGTTAACCGTAGTAGTCCCTGGATACAAACATATTTATAATTTGCGACTCTTTTCTTTATTTTTTTACATCCAATTGCTCACCATCTCTCATTGTGTTCTTCTTACATGTTTTGTTTTTAACAGGTTACAATCAGGTTTAAATATTGCCAAGGTAAGTCGATTCTTAATGTTAATATAGGTGGGACTGTGTAAACAGTTTCTTCTCTGGTTGGAAACAGTTTAAAAAAGAAAAAAAGAATATCTGAATTACCGTTTAGGTGCTTCCTCCTCACTTGAAGACTCACTCTCTTTCTTTTGTCTGATGTGCTTCCTCCTGTTCCCTTTATCTTTGCTTTTCTTTTTCCCTTTCTGTTTCTCAACCACAACTTCTCCATCACTGTCGCTGTCCTCCAGTAACGTGTATGTCCGATTCTTCTTGTCCATTTCAATGGCTTCCCGTTCCATCGCCCGGGCTGGTTTCTCCACAACCTGTTTGCGAGGAATCTATAACAAGCATGGTAAAAGATTGTTAGAGGTTTTATTCCACCAAAACCATACTGAACTACAACAACTATGGTACTATGTATGTTTTGGCAAAAAGTCTAAACTCAATTAAACTCTTACTCACACTTGTAATACAATCATGCATCCCAATGTGCTTCATATAGCAGGAATAGAACGGCACGGACAAAAAAGAAGAAAAAAAACCCCATCAATAATAGAGTTTTGCCATACCTTGTCAAAAAGCTCTTTCGCAAAGGCAACCACACTCGGTTCAATGTCAATCGTGCCCGTCTTCTCCAGTCGCTCCACAAAGTCTTCAGAACTGGAGGCTCTCCTTGCAGTGCCGATCATGAATTGAGACACATATCTGTCACTCAACCCGAGAATGTCATGGAGACGGTCATTCACCCACTGCTCCAGATTGGCCATGGTGCCTGTTCAAGGATCACAACAACAGACAATCGTTTTTCTTAATGCTGGTGCTGATGTTGAATATTAAAATATAAAGGAAGCCGGTGGCTACAACCAAACATCCAAAATAGGTGGTTTATTAACACATAGGTAAAGTCATCATTTTAATTTTCCCTGATTTTTATTTTTAAATTAAAATGGTTGATTACCGCAGGACGAAAGAAGGTAACATTTAAAAATGAAGGAATGACTATGAGCTAAACTCGTTAAACACACATAAGAAAGAACAAGAAATAGAAATAAAGAATAGAATAAAATGACGTCAATACGTTGAAACAAATAAGATAAAGTATGTTAAACATGTTTGTATTAAAACGAAAGAGCATTGCCGTTTTTAGATGTTGAAGTTTTTTGCAGATATGTGCAAAATGGTCCAAATAACAACGTGTTTCACAGCATTACATGTGAATACTATGTACAGACTATGTACAAACTAGAGATACAACCTAGTCTCATTTGTTTTTCTGGAAAGTAAAATGCAAATTGGGAAAGTAAAAATGTTGACACAGTCCTGGAAAAGTAAAAAGTATACTAGCTAGAGCTTAACTAGTATGTCTAGCTATATTCCTTGACAGTTCACTAGACCTTACATTTCAATGGTGCACTAGTGAGCTAGTCTGCTTTTCTTTTTGCAGGGTGGGCTTTAACTTTAGATTAAAAACAATAACGTACAGTTCTTTCTTTGACACATAAGCTACTCATTGATTTCACTTACCGCTTCTCAAAATGCTCAAACAACGTTGTTGTTATGGTCGAAGTAGCAGGCTGTGTGTTAGCTAACTCCAGCTACAAGTGTTGTTTTAGCTTGAGATGCAGCTCACAAGCTCCCGGTAAGAACACTTAAAGGATACATCCTTTAGCAGCCGTCTATAATTATGTATTTGTGGCTTTATTTTTCCAGACAAAACACCGTACAAATAACAATAATGAATTAAAGTTTTGCAACGTTAGCTCTGCACACGCTGAAGTAGGAAGCGGAATGACGTCATGTACAAATAAACGAAGAAGACTGCAGCGCTTATTGTCCCCTAGTGGCCATCTGGAAAACAACACGGTGTTAACTTTAAACAGTCTATTGGTTTTACAAATGTATAGTCAGACTACATCAGGGGTGCCCAACCTTTTTTGAACCGAGAGCTACTTTTACAGGTAAATACACACTTCTACTTGTATAAAACTGACCTTTGTATGATTAATACTTCATAAAATACTGCAGATCCTTTATCTTAGCTCTTTCTAATCTACACACATACAAGTATTTAACTGAAAGTTACACAACGGTGTTGTTGATACAGAGTTGGAGTTTATTCACACGTCACATACTTCAGTGGATAATGTTTTCAAGAAATATTGAACAATGCTGCCACATATGACAGGAAAAAAAGAAAATACACTGAACCCTTTCTTTGCCATTATATAAAAATAGTGTTGCTCCAAAAGTATACATTAGGCTTACTAATAAGACAACTCAGATCTGAAGCTATGAATCTGCTGCCAAAGTGCAATAAAAAAGACAAAATTAATAGAATCAAACCCTTTTCTTTTTTTTGCATTTTAGTAGAGTATAAAAATAAATGCCTTTAAAATAGGATGCAAGCAACACTAGTTTCTTAACCTGAATTGATAATAGACTATAATCAATTTAAACAGAACAGATCTTAATGTTTGCCTTCTTATACCATTTTGTACAATAATTATAATGAATAAGTTCAAACAAACTAAAACTTACAGCTGATTAATAACGGTATCTAACTTGAGTTTTTATTATGTCAAAAACCTGTTGAAATGCTACTGTTATTTTTACTGTCCCCCTAAAGCGCATCGGCAGCCTCCAGGAATGCTTCTTTCACAACTTCGCCGTCTTCGAAATACTTCATGTGTTTCGCAAGAACGTGATAAGATGCTATGGTAGCAGCCTTGCTCTTGTTGTTGGGCCTGGTGAAAATGGACTGCTGTGCATTTAGCGGTCCTTTCAGGTCCCTCACCTTTTGGAGCGTAGGGCAGAATTAGGAGGGAATTCCGTCTCGTAGCGTTTGTGCACTGTTTTGAAATGCCGCTCCTAAATTACCCTTCTTCGATAAAGCCACGCTCGCATTGCAGATAAGACAGATGGACTTTGAATTGGAATAGATACAAAAAATAATCATCCTCCCACTCCGAGTGAAAATGATATATTTTGGGCTCTTTTGCTTCTGTCATTTATTGTGGTCTTGTGTGCGGACTGTCACTCCTGTTGTCACGGACAACGTCAGCAAACTAGTACCCACTGCCCACTAGCCACGCCCCGATACCAATCACAAAGCTTTGATGCGTTCAAGTGCATTATTTTGGCACAGGAAGATTATTTGTTTGGACATTAACGATAAAACAAAATATTGTTTCTCTATTTTTAGACACATCTCGCGATCGACTGGTTGGGCACCCCTACATTATAACTGTAAAGGTTGTGGGCCACTCAATATAGGCCTACAATTTGCAATCCAAGTAGGCCTACTGATACATTATAAAGAACAGTCTACTGTAGAATTATTGCATTCAAACTTGAAGAACAAAAGTCTTAGCATTAAAATATTAAAATACCTGAAGCAAAATAAGTCAGTATGCAAAAATGAACAATTTCAGAATGATATATGGCATTGCAGTTATTGATGCATTAACGTGCATGCATACACCACTTTAATTAGAAGTATATTAGAAGTATAATATTAGAAGTATAATCATATTATGTTTTAATGACCAAACGTCACACTATAATACTGCTTAAAGTCGGTCTAAAAGATGGATGAGTCCTCAGCACTACGTAACTGAGAGACTTAAAAGAGATGTGAGTGACCACCTTCGGAAAAAACGACACACTATTTCAGTATGATTATGAGGAAGTGCGCTGATGCTCTCCAAGTCTAAAATCAAAAGTTGAAAGATATTTAAAGTTCCTCATCAGGACGTTTAAAGACATCATCTCCTCCTGCGGCACCTCACTCGATCCTCAGCCCGGACAGAGGGCTCGTCAGTGGCCGGAAGGAGAGATGAAGACCCCGCAGATGATCCGAAATTCCCCGGTGCCTCTTCTGCTGCTGCTGACAGGAGTCTGCATCAACGGGTACAAGCCTGTCATCATAGTGCATGGCCTGTTCGATGGGCCGAAAGAGTTCAAAACGATGTTTCGTTACATAAACAAGGTAGGTTTCCAAAAGCTAAATATGTGAAAAGTGTTTAATTTAGGGAGAGACTTCTGAAAGACAGAAAAAGCTCAGACCTTCAAAAAACAAAACAAAAGAGCAGAACATAGAAACGAATACCCTAGGAAATGTTTATAAGTAAAGGTTATATTAATGTATTCAAATAGTGAGGCATTACCTTGTAAGCATCTATTTACAGCTTGTAAAAGTGCTTTTAACTACTTTGTAATTAACAAAATAATACATCATCATTTATGAGATGGTTATTTTGTGTATCAAAAGTCTGAATCTGCATACATTGATGACTAAATCATCTTCAAAGTATACCATTTATTTAACAAAACTATTTATAAAACATGATATTTGTTCCATCAGTGAGGCACCACTCAGTTGAATTATTTGAATGGACCGGTCAAACATCCAATTAAACCCAAAATAATTTATTAAACGTATTGCAGGCTTAATATCTACAGCAGGGGTGCCCAACCTTTTTTGAACCGAGAGCTACTTTTAAAGTTGCCAGTCTGCCGAGATCTACCAGTCCAAATAGAGAGGCGTAGCCATTACATTACATTACTGACAACCAGGTAAATACACACTTCTACTTGTATAAAACTGACCTTTGTACGATTAATACTTCATAAAATACTGCAGATCCTTTATCTTACCTCTTTCTAATCTACACACATACAAGTATTTAACTGAAGTTACACAACAGTGTTGTTGATACAGAGTTGGAGTTTATTCACACGTCATGTGGGTAATGTTTTCAAGAAACATTGAACAGTACTGCCACATATGACACATGGAAAAAAGAAAAGACTCTGAACCCTTTCTTTGCCATTATATAAAAATAGTGTTGCTACAAAAGTATAAATGAGGCTTACTAATAAGACAACTCAGATCTGAAGCTACACAGGAATCTGCTGCCGAAGTGCAATAAAAAAGACAAAATTAATATAATCAAACCCTTTTTTTGTTGCATTTTAGTAGAGTATAAAAATAAATGCCTTTAAAATAGGATGCAAGCAGTTTCTTAACCTGAATTGATAATAGACTATAATCAATTTAAGTTTGCATTCTTATACCATTTTGTACAATAATTATAATGAATACATTCAAACAAATTAAAACTTACAGCAGATTAATAACGGTATCTAACTTGAGTTTTTATTATATCAAAAACCTGTTGAAATGCTACTGTTATTTTTACTGTCCCCAAAAAGCTCATCGGCAGCCTCCATGAATGCTTCTTTCACAACTTCGCCGTCTTTGAAAGACTTCATGTGTTTCGCAAGAACGTGACTGACACGATAAGATGCTATGGTAGCAGCCTTGCTCTTGTTGTTGGGCCTGGTGGAAATGGACTGCTGTGCATGTAGCTGTCCTTTCAGGCCCCTCCCCTTTTGGGAGCGTAGGGCAGAATTAGGAGGGAATTCCGTCTCGTAGCGTTTGTGCACTGTTTTGAAATGCCGCTCCTAAATTACCCTTATTCGATAAAGCCACGCTCGCATTGCAGATGAGACAGATGGACTTTGAATTGGAATAGATACAAAAATAATCATCCTCCCACTCGGAGTGAGAATTAGGCCTATATATGTTTTGCTTCTGCCATAATTGCGGTCTTGTGTGTGTGCGGACTGTCACTCCTGTTGACACGAACAACGTTGGCAAACTAGTGCACACTGCCCACTGCTCACCAGCTACACCGGCCAGCCACACATGGGGTCACGCCGGCCAATCACAAAGCTTTGATGCGTTCAAGTGCATTATTCTGGCACAGGAAGTTATGTTACAGGACATTAACGATAAAACAGAATATTGTTGTTCTATTTTTAGACACATCTCGCGATCGACTGGGAATCTCCCCACGATCGACCGGTCGATCGCGATCGACTGGTTGGGCACCCCTGATCTACAGTATAGCGATGCAGATTATTCTAAAGGCAGTCAGATTTCAAGAAGAGTGAAAATCAGCAAGCAGTTTTAATGTTAGGATTTCTGGCTCTCTGTCATATCTTATTTCTCCAGATCAGTTTTGTTTTAGAAGAATTAGAATATAATTGAATGATGGGATGAAACCCTCTTTTAATGTTCACACATGCAGAGCACACAGCACACACAGTGAAATGTGTTCTCTGCATTTAACCCATCCTAGTACTAGGAGCAGTGGGCAGCTATTGTACAGCGCCCGGGGAGCAATGGGAGTGAGGGGGGAAGGGGGGTGTCCGGTGCCTTGCTCAAGGGCACCACGGCAGGGCAGGAGGTGAAATGGGACCTCTCCAAGTAGCAGTCAACACTCCATATTTAGGTCTGGTCGGGGACTTGAACCGGCGACCCTACAGCTCCCAGTCCAAGCACCTACTGCCGGACATGACACCCACCTGACTGAATCGAATAATAACATAAACAGAAATCAGACTGGTAGTTTGCTGACTGTTGATTTGTTCTGTGTTCACCAGGGTTTTGTAACTTCCTTTGAATGATTGTATTCCTAGGTGCATCCAGGCACTGAGGTGAAGGTGATTGACTTGTATGACAACCTGTCCAGTCTGAAGCCCATGTGGATGCAGGTGCAAGGTTTCAGTAAAGCCTTCGACGACATCGTGCAAAAGGCTCCTGATGGCGTCCATCTTCTGTGCTTCTCACAAGGTCCTAACACTGCATCAAACAACATACACTATTTAGCCATATAGGAAAATGTCTCTAAGCATAAAGCATCTACATCTGACAAAAGTCTTCATCTGTAATGCTACCCTAAGAACTAGCAATGTGTTTCAAAGCTGTTTATTTTGTATCTTAACTAGGTTTATTTTAAGACAAATGTACATCAGCAGGATTTGGGGTCTTGACTTTAGTATTGGACTGCTTCAGTGTAAAGAGAGTCATCAGTCAGTCTGACAGAGACCAAGATAATGTGGAACAACTTTGGGTGTTATAATCTGTGCAAGGACAATCTCACAGAGCAAAGGAGAACAGTGTCAATTCAACCAAATATCCATCATGAGTATATGTAAGAATATTAAGTTAACAAAGTTGCAAAAAACAATGCCGCAAGAAGGTTGTTGATTGCATGACCTTGATGATCTGATTTGCCTTTCACACACACACACACACACACACACACACACACACACACACACACACACACACACACACACACACACACACACACACACACACACACACACACACACACACACACACACACACACACACACACACACACACACACACACACACACACACACATACACACATACGCATACATCAGAACAGTATACATATGTGGCCAAACGTTCATGAACAAGGACTAAACACAGACACACAGCTGTGCAGTGCAATGCAATATTTAACCCATATGTTCAAAAGACACCTGACCTGCCCAAACATACATGAAGTTGAGGAACAATATCATGTCAACTCTTACTTCCTTATTTCGGGCATACCGAAATAAGCACCTTTTTCTACTGAAGTGGCTCATGGTTTAGCTTTTAAGAAAACCTTTAACCAACTATTATGGACCGATGTCATTACGTTTAGTAGAGAACTATAGACTATGGTCCACTTGTTTTAACGTACCCTGCAAAATATCTCAAACATATAGGCAAATCTATTTTATTCCGATGATGACTTTGAAAATTCTTTGACTTTCCTCTAATGCCACCAATAGGTTTTAGTTAAATGTCTTAACAAGAAACAAACTGTCAATCATTATGTATATGAGTTTCCAATGATATATAAACCAATACCTTGCAAAAACTACTATCATTCCCCTCAGCATCAGCTTTGTTTGTGTTTATTGCTAGTTAGCAAATGTTTGCATGCTTGATGTGAAAACATTTAGGTTAAAATGATTAAATTACATAAAACACACAATAAAACCACAAAGTATTATATACTTGTTTATGTTGAAAACAATGTGACTCTGTTGGGCTGTGATCGACTGGATGGTCTTGATCCAGGATCCGGAGATACTCGGGATACTACGATAGTGAACATGGTCAACATTGTACTCATTTTAAAGTGTTAGCATGCTTTGGTTAGCATTAGTTAAAAAACAATGCTATGTCAAATGTAAAAAGAAGCAAACTCTTACATTTTCAGTATGTTTTCTCCTCAAAGAGCAGGTTTCATACTAGTTAAATGGTCTGCTGTGATCCAAAAGCCCTAATGGAGGAGATAGTAAGATGGATGGATAACATATTATATGGTTTTAGGCCTACATTAATATACATTTCTTCTAAGTACAGCCTCACAACCACTAGCCATTAAGGATAGTAGAAAATATCCAGTTTTGCTAGAACCTGATGAAACACCTGCAGTGGAAGGCGCCAACTTAGTAATCAGAGTCATAACGTTCCAACCCTTATGAGATGCATTTTAGAGAAATTAAAAGAATAACTGCATCACATCTTATACTCTAAACTGGTTTGTCAGCATTGGCTTGATGTTGTGTCCTCTCCTTTTCTTTTAAAGGTGGTTTAATTTGTCGAGCACTTCTCTCCATGGCTCCAGATCACAAAGTGCACACCTTCATTTCACTGTCGTCCCCACAGGCCGGGCAGTATGGAAGTAAGGGAGCTTCATTTTGAGTTTTAATCCTGTCTGTATAACCCTTGTCCTCAAGGTAATAATGACATTTTAGGACTATCAGTTAATTCATAAGAACTTGTAACAGTAATGATTGGTCTTAGATCCTAAAGCAGAGGTTTTCAAAGTGGGAGGAGCAGAGTCTCAGTGAATGGAAAACACTATGCCACCAGTTATTTGTTAAAGAGACGGTTCATTTACAGTTTGGGTGATTTCTACTTTGCCAAAACAGAAACAAATAACTGCCTAAGGATAGACCTTTTCTATGTAATCGGATGTTATATTTAACAACAATATTAGGCTATTTTGGCTCAATTGTTGACAGTTATAGTTCAAATAATGATTTTGATCCAATGGACATGCATTTATTGAGTGAAACTAAGAAAGTAAAGGGGTCAGGGAGCACCTTTTTCCAAGCTTTGTCTAAAGGGAGGCCCAAAGTCTCAGAAACCCCTGTTCTTAATTTCCAAACACTTCTTTACTCCACAGACACAGAATACCTGAAGCGGGTATTTCCTGACTTCGTGAAGAAGACTTTGTTTCGTATTTGCTACAACAGAGTGGGACAGAAAGTGTCTATCTGCGACTACTGGAACGGTGAGCATGATGATTTGAAAAGCAGAACAATTTAAGCTTTAACTGAGGAGAACCAGCACCTATAGTATTATATTCCCTGTTGAAAAGACAATACATATATCTATGAATAATTTCTCCACAGACCCTCACCATAGGTCCCGCTACCTGCAGAGCAACAGCTTTCTGGCGTTGCTCAACGGGGACAGACCTCACGGCAAAATGAAAGGTAGTGAAATTAATTAATTAAATGAGCTGTATACTTTTGCATGTGCAGTAAACATGTACAGACATGTATTTCTACATTTGACCTTCTCAGCATGGAGGGAAAACTTCCTGCGCATCAAGAATCTTGTGCTGATTGGAGGACCAGACGATGGCGTCATCACACCATGGCAGTCAAGGTTTCATCAAATTTACAATTTGTTCTTCAGTTTATTCTCCTTAATTTTTAAATGTTTGGGAAAAATACAAATAATTATTTAGTTTAGTTGAATATATTAGCATTCTTTACATAATGTCCTGGTATATATTTTCTCTAACAATGACGACATGCTAAAATACAAACATACTAAAAGATGGTTATTGGGTTGTTTACATTAATTTAAAAAAATCAGCAAAACACAGGAAGAAAACATGAACACAAAATGAACAAAAACAACAATAAAAAAAAAAGGCTAACTGAATAAACTATCACTTCCACAATTCTCATGATATCTGAAAAAAACCCAACCATTAATTATGTTTGCTTTTTCCTGCATTTTGCAAATAAAAAAAAATGTTTTTTATGGCATTAAAGTCTTTATAACAATTACAACTTTAATACGCACATGCATGCCAATATGAACGTTGTTTTTTTAATGGAGACCTGATGTTGCAATTGTCCTTTAATTATTTTATGATGCCAATTTTTTAGGGGAATGCTAGCTTTAAAATTAATACATTTTTATTTTAGAAAACGTGTGCATGTGAGTGCCACATTTCCCCCAAAATCTCCTTACATACATATTGAGGTGCCAAACAATGAAATGGTTTCTAACAGAGTCTTCAAAATGTGTGTTGGGTGAACAGTTTCTGGTCAAAACTGCAGCATCGGTTTCAAGAAGTCTTCACCTAGACTGACTGTTTCCCTTTTTTTTTTTCCACACAGCCACTTCGGATTCTATGACAGCAACGAAACCATTGTAGAAATGGGGAACCAGGAGGTAAGTTACAAAGTGATGTATGCATACACCATTGTATCACTTCTATATTGACTGAAAGCACCACTTCATTTTTACCCTCTGGGCCCTCTGCATTATTGTAGAGATCTCTCTCTTCCTTTTTCGTAATAACCCTCCCCTCTCCTTTTGAAAGTTTTACAGAAACGATACATTTGGGTTGAAGACGCTAAACGCTCGTGGCGACGTGTCGATGTGCCTTCACTCTGGAGTGAAACACGTTCAGTGGCACTCAAACTACACCGTGTTCAGGAGCTGCATAGAGAAGTGGCTCACTTGAAAACAGAGTGAGAGATGTTAATGCAAGCTATTATTTAACTATAATAGAATATATAATCTAAACTGTATTTCATGTATATGATTTTCATAAAAGACTAAACCAAAATAAAAAAATTTTAAAGCTTCCATTCTTATTTCCTTTATGGCTGTGGGAAAAGAGACAATGGTTCTATATTTTAATGTTGTAGGTTCCAATAATGCATTTTAATAATGCGGTCAATTAACCAATGTTTAAATATTAAGATTGCAGTTATAGTTCACTTCTTTACCAGGTACATTTTTCGATTAAATATACCAAATTCTGAGGACTTTTTCTGCTAGAAATAGTCCATGGTACATTTGTCTAATGAACCTTTTTTATTAGGTTTTCCATTAAAACTTAAACCAAAAGGATACATTGAAATTCAATTTGTTTTAATCATGCTCAGATGGTCTTTCATGCAGGTAAAAGTCAGTCTGAAGCAGGCCATGCAATTCATGAGCCATGAGCGATCAATCTCTGACCTCTGGTGGAAGTTTCTGGTAAAGAGTGAATTCACACAGTGGTGAACACTCATTTGACCTCAACTCTTCGGGGTTAAGCTTTGAGGAATAATATCGAGTCTCAACCCACAGAGTGCAGCTTAGTGATATATTTCTGTCTTATGTGACTTGGTGTTAACTGATACTTTAAGAAGATCTGAAATGTTGTATCTGTATTAAATAAAGTATTGTTGGAACACCAATCTCTTAAGTATTATTTGTATGTTTGTTTTTTCAGACTTCTGCCCAAGCTATATAACTTACAATATAACTACATTGTATTGTGTTCCAGGCGTCATTTGCGCTGGAGACGGGTCCCACATCTACAGGAGAATCCAGTACATTATTGTCTTATCAAACTATTACATTTTTATCAATTTATGACATTGTCAGAGTGGCTTATTCATCTCTTTTATAATGCTCTGGTGTTTTGTTATTATTACTTTGGACAGCAGTCTTTTGTGAGGATGCTAAACTACAATAATAAAAAAAGGCCTTTAGATACAAATCATTTTACAGTACCATTAAGAACAGCCTCAAAACCCATTTGCACAATAAAAGTGAAGAGATAGTCACCATAAAAACGAATATTCTGTCCCTGGTTTAATTTGAACCCTTTAAGAATGATCTTTAATGATCCTGTTTTATTGAAAGTTATGTTATCTATGCACCTTGTCAAGCACATTTTAGGCTACATAATACTCAATGGGCCTCTGACTGCAGAGTATAGGTTACATGTTGACTCTTTAGCCCTTCACACATGATTAGATAAAAGTAGGGCAGGGGCTGTGATCAAACGCATTGATTTTAATTAATGAACTGATTCATGGGGTTGAGTTATGGATTGTGTGTTGGGCTAATAAAAAAAATGTAAAGCTTACACACATATATATAGATTACAATACAAATATAGGATTAGTATATGTTGTTCTGAAATAGTTAAAGTGTTAGTTGTTGTACTTCAAGAAGAAGAAGAAGAAGAAGAAGAAGAAGAAGAAGAAGAAGAAGAAGAAGAAGAAGAAGAAGAAGAAGAAGAAGAAGAAGAAGAAGAAGAAGAAGAAGAAGAAGAAGAAGAAGAAGAAGAAGAAGAAGAAGAAGAAGAAGAAGAAGAAGAAGAAGAAGAAGAAGAAGAACCTTTATTGATCGTATATGTTTTTATATAATTGTTTGGCACAGGAGGTGGGAGAAGCACTCAGAGTAGGCAGGGTCGGCTCTAGAACAAATCGAATGGGGGGGCAATCATTTACCAAGGGGGGGGGGGCACACACTGCCGTCAACAACCAACACACAAACACCAACGCAACTTCAATTTCAAAAAACATGCTGTAAAGTCTATTGTCTTTCACACACACAGGGTGTAGTGCTATTTCCTAGCGCACCTATGACTTGTGCATACATGCACGTTTGTGGCACAACCACCAAAACAGAAACATATGGACATAGGCCACCATATAAAAAGTGTGCAAATGTATTTTGTATCCTATCCATGTGAACATGTTTTAGGTGGGGGGTGGACCTAACCTCCTCTAGGAGGGTCTGGGGGCATGCTCCCCCGGGAAGATTCTTTTTAAAATATTGAAGTTAAATGCATCAATCTGGTGCACTTTGAGAGCAAAATGAAGAGATCTATGGATAGCCTACATCTCTCAGCATCCATATGAAACAGAACTGTACACAGATTTACTTTTTCTTTATGGATATTTTACTAATCACTCCCCTTTTAAACTGTATTCTTGTGTTACTGTCCTATAGTATTTCATACCCGTTTTTCATTTATTCTCTTATTTTTTTAATAACTAGGCTATAGGCTAATGATCATATACATGTGTTCCTCGCAAATACTTGTTTACATAAATGGTGACCAAACCGTTTGAGACCCACTGAGATAACTTACACTAAAGTGAACTATCTAAACACTGAGAGAGTCCTTACCTCTGGCTGAGGTTATACGATCCTCTCAGTCTGACAGGAGAGGACTCTCCTCCACCTTGGTGTAGAAACAGCTCTTTATATCCGTTAGCATAGCTAGCTAACCAGATGCTAACAACATTCCACGTTACCGCTCGCGCACTCACAAAATGCGATCGTGCCACACACACACACACACACACACACACACACACACACACACACACACACACACACACACACACACACACACACACACACACACACACACACACACACACACACAGAGAGAGCCGAGCTTGAATGAAACACAGAGACCCAGAAGTAGGCTACTTGTACTGTACTGTATATCATATTATTTTCGATGGCTTTACTGTATAATCAGTGTAACAGATGAACAGATTGCCACCGGCTTTCATCTAAAACACACAGCCACGTAATGATAACAAAACAAAAGTCGGGGGTCATTGGTCAAGCAACACACCAATCAGAGAGCAGCAGTGAGCACACCTCAGGCTGTGTTTTATATTTGTATTCTTTATTTCTGATGTATTTCACACAAAAAACCTTTAGTGGAAACGTTTTCACTTATATGATTAAAAAAAACAAAAAAACGGCAAAGTGGCAAGGCTTGCCCACCCTGCGTTGGGGGGGCACAGTGACTCATTTGGGGGGGCATGGCCCTCGAATGACCCCCCATGACGCCGACCCTGAGAGTAGGCCTACCAGTACAAGTACCAGAGTGAAGTAAAAGTCCTGCAATCAAAATATAACTCAAGTAAAAGTAGAAACGTATTAACATCAACCTATACTTAAAGTACCAACAATAAAAGTACTCATTATGCAGATTGGCCCATTTCAGAAAATTATAAATTACATCTTTTTTTTAATGATTTATTAGTGTTGTCAAAGCTAGTTAAAGGTAATTTATTTCAGAAACACTTTTTGTTATATTGCATGGAATGCTCTTAACATCCCGATAGCAATGCTTTGACAATAAATACATTAAAAAAAAATCATATGTGGAAGCCGTGGCGCTGTAAAAAGCACGACCAATCATTTTAGCCGGCCCGGCTAAAATAACTGGATGGCCTACCTGCCTGTCAGCCTTCCATCTGTGCACAAACGTATCTCGTGCTCTCATTGGTCATGTGCGCGTTCTTGTGTGTGTTGGAGGAGGGGCTCTGTAAGGAAGTGGCAGATTTTTTCCGGTTGTGTATTTTCAAATTCTAGCGCACTCGAGCTGGTTCCTCCAAAATTACCTACCCCACCTTTAAGGTGCAGCTAAGTACTTTGCACAGAGTAGCTTGTGTATTTTACACTTTAGTGAAATTAAAGTGTTATTTAAGTACATTTCACATCATTAAACAGAATCTACAAAGTACCTTATGGTACTAAATACATGTAGTGGAGTAAAAAGTACACACATTTACCTTTGAATTGTAGTGGGGGTAGAAGTACAAAGTATCAACACATTGAAATACTTAAGTAAAGTACAAGTCCCTCAAAATTGCAATTAAGTACAGTACTTCAGTAAATCTACACCACTGGAGGAGGGACAACATGGCTCCACTCTCCCCTCCTGTTTGCACACCTCCCCAAACAGGTATGAGCTGTGACGTCAGCAAGGTGACACCCAACGCCTCTCTTCCGTTGCCGCTCCGGTGTGCTGCGACCATAGACTGTATAGCGACGCGCCTCAGACCAGCTCCAGCAGAGATTTGTATATAAGAAACCTTACTTAACTCTCACATGTGTTTTTGTGTGTGACTTGGCATCGTTTTGATGCGAACATGAACATTTCTTCTTCGCGTATCGGACTTTAAACTTCTCTCAGCGCGTGAAAAACCCGGGTCCAGGGGTGAAAGCTAACGTAAGATTTTCAAACATACTTATTGTATCTCGCTAAATGTTTGTTTGTGACGTAAAAAGTTAACTCAACGGCGTCCAATGATTATTATATTCAGGAAACACTCACTGCTCCGCTTTCACACCGTGGCGTTACTTTCGCATTGAACCGCTGCACTTCAGTCGCTTAAAATAGAATCAGATACATGATAGTTGAACTGTTTTCCACTGGATGATGAAGCGTTTTCCCCTGGGAACAAGTCTCGTGCTGTTGTATTTAGGCAGTCAAAGGTCGAGTATGGTGGCTATATGTATCCCATGTATGGGTTAAGTTCACGGTTTCCTTAAGCAAACACATATTAACATCCTATTTAAGGGTTGTGTTTACGGTTTTCCCATTCTAACACATAATCATGTTAAGTTCACGCCACATACTTGTTTTATTTAGTCCTAATTAAATGGTTCTAAAATGATAGTCTGTATGTTTTCTGGGTTTAAAATGATTAATGGAAGTCTAGTTTCTGACTTGTGAGCGGGGGAAAGGTTCATGGAGAGACTGACTGTTGAAGAGAGTTCCATTCATCGACTGGATTTACTGTCAGCGTGGCTCAAGGTCGACGTGTCCCGCCCTGTGGGCAGCTACAGTAAACACCAGCAGATGAGCTGTAATAAAGTGAACAAAACCCCATACAGGGAAGAGATCCAACTCAATCAAAAATAAAAGGCAGACACAATATCTGAAACAGGGTGGATTATATGGCTCTATCAAACTTTATATGACCTGTTTCTATGGAAACAGAGCTGGCAAATTAATCATTTTCCATAAAGTCATTGCCAGCTGTTAGGCTAACATTAGGAAAAATAACAAAATAATCTTTCTCTCCTATAATCTCCTAAGAGGTCACAAGATCAGTCTGTGGGTCTTCTTTCTGACTCTAATAACTCGCTCACCCTTTTTCTGGTTTCCTCTGATATAATGAGCATAATTGAAAACAATAAACAACAGGTCGCGCTGAGAAATTGCTTTGGTATCACAAATAATTTGTGTGTAATTTAAAGAATGAAAACTTTTCCTCTGGTATCTAAAAAGTGTTTTTTGCCTTTTCAGATTGTTTAATTTGAGTAATTTAGGAGTCCTAAAGAGGTTACATATGCAGTATTCTTCTAATCTCATTGCGGATAAAACTGTAAAGTGTACAGCTAAGCAGATGGCTCTGTGAGGTGCTCATGATTCAGGTTAGGAATCACTTCTTTTGAATGCATCCCGGGTTTTTTTCTGTTTTGATTTACAGAGAATTTCCAACATCTATCGGGACAACAGTGTCCACGATGTCCTCCAGAGGTAAACATGAATTTTGCCGAATGTGTGGCGGAGCTCTCAAGGGAAACCAAAGGCGGTGGCTGTTTGGGGGATTGAATAAGAAGGTCGGCCCGCCTCGGACCCCGACA